GAGACAGCTGATCAGCACAGTGCTTCAGGGTGGATGGGGAGACAGAGTCCTGTCCAGCTGCTTTACAGGGTTTATGCCTCCTGAATAGTCTGTTGACATCCCTTTCTGAGATAGAGAGAGCGGGGGAGAGAACGCACCTCCTTGCTAAACCAGTGCTTTAACGCCCTGCACCCGGCCCTGTCCCCACTCCTATATGCCTCCTCCTTTTCCATCCTTAGCTATCTGAGTTTGGCTGTAAACCAGTGTTTGTCATTGTTATAACTCACCCTGGTGCGTGTTGGTGTCACGGCATCAGTAAACTCATCCAGACTGTTGGTAGCTGTCCTGAAAACATCCCAGTCAGTGCAGTCCAAACACGCCTGAAGATCCTCTACAGCTTCACTGGTCTACTTCTTAGATGTCCTCACCACAGGTTTACAGAGTTTAAGTTTCTGCCTGTATGCAGGAATCAGGTGGACCATGATGTGATCAGGGTGTCCCAGTGGAGCACTGGGGACGGCGTGATAGGCACTGCTTACTGTGGTGTAGCAGTGATCCAGCAAGTGTTTCCCTCTCTGCTTGGATACTTCATAAACTGCCTGTATTTGGGGAGTTCTTGATTGAGGTTCCCTTTGTTAAAGTCACCAAGAACAATTACAATGGAGTCTGGGTTTGTCAGCTCCACACAGTGTATCTGGTCGGCCAGCGTGCGCTGTGCGCCGTGCACGTTGGCCTGCAGTGGAATCTAAACACCGACCAGAGTGAATGAAGCACGGGGGGAGTAAAACGGTTTACAGTTAACGATAAAATATTCCAGATCAGGAGAACAGTGATGCTGAATCACCAGCCACTGTTAATATAAAAACAGATACCACCGCCAGTGGAGACACACGAGCGACACGGCTTTTTCTCTACTACAGCGTTTCACAGCCTGAGCAACAGTGAGCGTGCCCTTCACCAAAATGTCCAATAATTCCACTGATGATGCGAGAAAAGTGGGAAATATATCCGCTGGAGATGTTCCCCTGATGTTCATGAGCTCATCTCTGGTGAAAGAGCTCCAGGAGTCAAAGCCGAAAACTGAATTCACACAAAAAACAAAACAGAGGGCACCTAACACCAAGGCAGCTATACGCAGCACCATCTAGGATCGCGCCATCTAGGATCGCCATCTAGGAATTATGACAAAAGCAAAGGAGGAAATTAGGTTAAGGTATTATAGCCTGCTTCAAGACTGTCTTGAGCTCAGGGAAGCAGCTGTGTGCTGCTTTTTTAATAGAAGTTTCTAGCCTAGCCTAGATATATATTTGCAGCTATACTATTTGAAAACACTTCAGATTAAGCATGAATCTCACCTTTGTGTCACTTGAAGTTTGTTTTCGAGTTTGGAATGGGCTCATTGTTGCCCCCTGTGACCATTAGGGGCAGTAATGAGCCCATTACAGTTTGGAGCATCAAAATGGAAAAAAAGAAGAGCCCACACTAGACTTAGCTTCAAGGATGAAGAAAAACCGACTGGTTTGACAATGTACATCTGGTTAAAGGTACAATGTGTAAGATAGAATTTTAGTGAACTAACATTATCAGTAAGTAACAGTTCAGAAGTTATGTCAAAGATGTGTATGTATTGGGTTGCTTATCTACTGAAGTTAATAATAATAATCAACTTAATCAACTTCAAGTTAGCATTCTAACAAGCTAGCCCCGGCCGTCCTGTGTTGTAATACGGTATTGGTCTGAATATAAGACCGTTTTTTCCCCCGGAAATTCATCTTAAAAATTCACCTCATGTTATTTTTGGGGTCTAGCACTTTAAATGTTAATATACACCCACAACAACATATGGTGCCAAATATCAGCAAAGCGCACGTTGCCATCTTGTGTCACCATCCCACTGAAACATGAAAAGACACAGCGATCTTGTCGAACAAAGTGGCTTAAGTAGGTCAATTAATCAGCAGCTGAGGACACTTTGATGGTTAATGCAGGTATTGACATTTTGATATGCTATATGGATATTTTTTCAGATGAGAGCCTAATTGGTGTTTTTTTTTTTTTCATTTTTATGATATTTACTGTAAATATCACATCATTCATTAAAACCTGTACATTTTATTTAGCTGTTATTTAAATGTGACCATTTCAATTAAAAATATATATTTATATATATACCATTTTATTTAAAACATGTAAAAAAAATGACTTACCTTGTTTTATATTATTCAATGTGTTTATTAGCATTATTTTCAAATAAAATATTTTCTTTGGTCTTCAAAAATTACTACCAAAAAGAAAATGAGTAAGGAGTCAGCTTAAACATGCTGCAGCCGGAGGCTTTATGAGTATAATCAGCTGATCACTGCTGCTGCGAAGTGATGTGAATATCAAATAAAAATGTACAGAGTAGTGTTAAATGATACCAGAAGATGAAATCAATGGAAAGCCAAGCTTGCCACAGTGACGAACATCCCTGAGACAACAGCCGAAGGTTGAGGGCTGTTAATAATCATGCAGGGACCAGGCGCGTGCAGGGACATAAAGAACAAAAAATGCGTGCCCTTCTCTTTCATTCGATGTGTTGCTGCAAACAAAGGCATACAAATAGTATTTTTTTGCCACAAAGGTATCGAATGAAGTGCCGGTTTGACTGGAGATGTTTCAATACTACTCAATTCTGGGCTATTTCGGTCGATACCTTAAAGGTATCGAGTAGGGATACCCATCCCTAATTCTTGCACCTTGTACCTTTAACTTCCCCACGTCTGTTAAAGAGCAGTGCACAGCCGCTTCCTTGAGTTTTTCTATGGAAGGATGGGTAAAAAAATATGAAGAGAGACAGCTGTTCATTTCCCATTTCCAACTGATCACCCCCTACCCCTAACCTAGCGTTTATTATTGAAACCATGACAACGGAGGTCCCCTAACAGTAAGGAAGAACTCATTTTAATCCAAACCACCTAGTTTCCCTAACATTAACTTAGTAAAGTACTTACTTGGTGTCAAAGTAATTTGACTTTTTGGGAGCATAAACTCTAACACACGCACATAATAAGACTGTAAAAAAGTGTGTGTGTTAACAAGCACAGTCTCATTGATCCAGTGCCATCCTTACACAGAAGCTGCTTAACGCACATTTTTTTGGTACAATTCTCACTGGAAGAAAACGGACTGCCACCTGCCGCCAGCTGCTCTGGTACACAACATTTTGTTCCTCCACTCCTCTTCGTTGTGATGGCGACAAGTGGGCCTGCGGCGCTGTCACTCATCTCCCTGTGTTTGCTTCACATACGCTGTGTGGGGATTGACCAGCTGTGTTCAGGCAGAAACAGCTTTTGGGGTCTCCAAAGACACCCTGCTGTAAAATGGCACAGCGTGGTTTTATGTGATACTCGACAGGCCAGTGTCTGCCATGTTTGATTATAGTCCGTGTTCTTTCAGAGTGTCCTTCTGTGGCTGATGATGTGACAAATCACAACAAGCTATGGATCTGAGCTTGAGCCCTTGTTATTCTGGAAGATGAATGTGATAAAGCCCAGCGTGCACCTTGCTGCTGCCATCTGTTCCCTCTCTTCTGCTTGCCTGACAAGAGTTGTGTTTACATGCTCCTCTGCAAACCACTCCATGTTAAGATAGCACTGGCAGCATGTCAAACACAATGCATTTCTGCATGAATGTCAGCAAGCAAAAACTTCATGTCTGACTTCATCACACATGCACCGTGTGTGAATATGACTGTTTGTTGTTGCAGAACAGGAGCCTGTCGAAATAACTGGAGATTAAAATGCAATAAAAACACATACAGTTTCTCTTAGTATTCATATTCTGCCAGTATCCTTGCTGTGAGTGGATCTGTGGCAAGGACACAGGAATTCTTCTCACATTAGAGCCTGTTCTTTTTCAGATGTAGTTTGCTTGAGGAAAAGAAAAATATTGATCTTAAAGGTTCCAGCTCAAAGTATCCCTTCAGAACAGTCATTTCAGAAATTCAAAACAGCTCAAAATGATTCCGTTTTCATCAACAGAGCAGCAGCACCTATCCGTCTTCAAAAACAGAATTCTTAATGAGGACTCTGTCATATCAAACAGCTTTTGATGTTGTTATGTAAGACGGAATTTATGAACAGCTTTAACATCAATAATTTCACTGGGCATTAAAATATTGATTACACTGCAATGTTATATTGTGATGATATGATTTGGAACATAAAAATGTATTAATTGTTCGAAGACAGAGCTGTTGATGACTGTGCTTGACTGCAAAACACCACAACTCTAACATATTTCCGTTATAAATGTGTCATTGACATGTTATAAATGTCGTCACTTGCTGATGATGATGTTTGTGTGATTCCAGTAAAAAAAATTTAAAGACTCCGTCATCACTAAAATGGCTGATGTTTGCAGTAAAATGGTTGATGGTTGAGTCAACTTCCCGTTCCCCGTTTTGGATCACTTGCTCCTGTCAGAGGCTGACAGCCGTGCTACCGATGCAGGTGCTTTATGTTCATTTCCTGAACAATTCAATCCCGTGATTAATTGCTCCCCTCACAGTAAAAGACTGAGAACTGTTTTAAACCATATTAACATCTAATGGGACTTTCTGGCATATATCTGACATTGTGTGTCTTTTCTTGTGGCAAAAAAACATTTTTTCCCCACAGTTGTAGACAGAGAGCAAATTATGCTAGTCTAGTGTCTTTTTTGTCTTTGAAGTGTAAGTTACACATATTTTTCCAATATGCAAATTCACACTGGTGGAATGCAGAGTTGTTGAATTAATTTAAATAATCTTTGAAAACATCTCGAAATACCCTCCCTCCGAGATTCAAGAAGAAAGCCAAAGTGAGGGTAATTTTTATTCAACATATTTGGTAAATAAATAGCTTAATCTCATAATAATCACAATGCATATTTAGACAGTTGCACATATAGTATCAACAGGATATTAGCTAAAGTCATATTCAAAACAATTTGTGTTAAATTGTAAGGGTCCATCTGTATTTTTGCAAGGGCTCATGTGGAAACACTGCATTAACAAAACTTGGCTAAAAGAGCACAGCAATGGCAAATTGAGATCTGTTTGTGTTCTTGTTGTTTTGGCAAACCAGGTGACACAGAAATGGGTATATAAAAATGCACTACATACATTAGACATTGCTGCATGAACAGTTGTGTATTTCGTCCTTGCTCACACATTTTTCACAGTGTTCATTTTAAAAGAAGGATCAAAGATGTCACATGAAAAAAGCTCAGCACAAAAAGGTTACTGCTGACATGTCATGCATAAATGATAAGGAGGGTAACAAATGACAGCAATAAACATGTCGACTCAATGGCTTGCTTCCTAAATTATAGCCTTATTTATTAGTCGGCTGAGTCATTAGTAAAACCGTAATAAACTTCTCCACTTGTTTGTAAGCACTCAGAAAGGTCAGTCTGTGAACAATTTCATTGAGGATTGTCATATTAGAAAAATTACACAAATTTACAAAGAACCTCCCTGAAAAAATAGTCGATCCGAAAAGTGTCCCTGCTGGCAAACACGGCATTGATTATACTCACAAAAATAAGAGATAGAGGACTAATAAACACATCCGGCTTGGCGCTGTGATCAATATGTGACCCCGGTGTCGCTGATCTCAACGTCAGCACGCTCGTGTTTTCTGTAACCATTGTCCTCATTTGTCATTGTGCTATCGTTAGTCTGTGCATCACCAGGCCTCTTTGTAAACACGCAGTCTCCGAAGCTGCTACAGTCAAAACCAGCATCTGAGCCATCTGGCCAGAACAGAAATTACTCCCACAGGACGTTCTTCTGCCTTTTCTCTACCACCCGGCAGTAGGAGAAGTTTCTGGTAAATACTTCACGTTACGTGGACGGGGGCAGGAGGGAGCCTGAGTGGGGTACCAATGAAGGGTAAAGAGAGGAATGTTACTGTAGTGTTGCAGAGTCGCATTCTTTACACTGCGTTATTGTCACACAAGAGAGGTTATAAATGTAAACGTGTTGTTGTTGCTGTCACTGACAAAGTTGATTTGGCACTGCTCCAATCTGGCAATATCCCCAATGTCCAACTCTGATAATAACTGAGTTGGGTCTGTGTTTGTGGTTAAAACCTTCTGTTTCTCCTGCTGCTCCTCTACATCCTCCTCTGGTTCCTCCAAGTCCTGACTCTCATCTTTGCTGTCCTCATCATCCTCCTCCTCCTCTTCTTCTGTGATGGAGCAGAGGCGTGTGGCGGTTCCGGGGTTGCTGGCAGGCGGTCTGTAGTGGCACTGCCCGTTCAACAGCCTCCTCAGTGGCATCAGTGGCACCGCCTCCTCACCCAGCAGCTGCTGCTGGCAGTGCCGGAAATCACTCTGACGCTTCAGACGCTTGAACTCGCTGAAGGCGGAGGTGGCGTTCTGGTAGAGACTGTGGGCGATGGCCTGGGCCTTCTCCGACTTGCTAACCAGGACAGCGTGACACCGGAGAACCACCGCCATGTTCTTGACCTGGTGCCTGTAGATCCAAGCCAGGATCTTGGGCCGGCACAGGTCAGCATTGCAGTAGGTGATTCTGTTCAGAGAATAAAGATGGATGGGTTTCTTTTTTCCAGATTTGTCAGCGCTCATCCGGATGCCTTGAGATCCCACTGTTAACCTCATCTTGATACTCTGCTCCCCGTAGTTGCTCCTCGCCCAGATTTTGGCCACTGCCTCCTGGGTGCAGCCGTCTCCCTTTGCAGTGATGGTGACCACACTCCCCAGGTAGCGCACATTGTAAACGGGCTCCTCTTTGTTCAGTTGCACCTTTTGCCGTTTGGTGTGGAAGATGCTGCCCACCCAGTCGAAGGGACAGTCAGGCAGCAAGTCAGGACAGGAGCGCAGTAGAGAGGAAAGGATGGAGTGGTAGGTCAGCCCAGTCCCCAGGCTCTTGGGTTTACTCTTGGCCTCATCCTCCACCAAAACAAACTTATTCCTTCGCCAGGGCAGCATGGTGGGGGAGGAGTTGGAGCGAGTGAGCCCCTCTGCCGCTGCGTTTGCTGTTTTCAGCTCAGGCAAAAGAGTAAGAAAGCCGGTGTGTGCGAGGGAGAGAGGAAAAGCAGAGAGAAGCTGCTTCACGAAGCTTAGAGGAGAGACTGAGAGCTGCGAGCCTCAGCCAGTTTGTTCCCCCGCTCGCTCCTCCTTCCTCTCCTCCTCCTCCTCTGTTGTCTGCATCATGCAGCGCTGATCAGTGCAGGAGACTTAGCCCAGCGCTCAGGCACCCTCAACCCCCTCCCTGTTTTGTTGTTTTGCTTCCAAATGGCTCCCCACCAAAGCATTATTTATTTGTCCAGCTTTGCACTGACTGAGGTATCACTATATTTCTGTTTCTTGTAAACCTGAGGAAGAGGGTACATCTCCTGGTCATTCCCTCTCAGTGGACTTATGTGACTTGTTAATTGTGTGGTAAAAGTCTGTCGAGACCATAGATAAAACATAACTTCTTCATGTTTAGTGTGATGTGACACAACAGAATGATCTTGTAGCCATTGTTAGCATGAGGATGAATGAGGTTGGGACCCAAAACACAAAATTGCAACCTGGTATTACAGTAAATCAAATGATCATATCAATTAAATACATGTATGAACATTAAACATTGGATACCCACTCAATATAAATATGCAATGCCCTCTGATGCTGTAGGTCAATTTTGTTTGTTTACATTAGAAAATTTGAGAAACACACAACAGACAGAATTTGAACAAAATACCCTGTATACTGTGTGTGTGTGTATATATATATATATATATATATGGTCAAAAATAATTATGGATTGGAACTTCCATTGGAGTGATATTACTAAATAATTAAGCAGTAAATGAAAAGGAAGGGCAAATGTGTCGAATTAAAAATAGTTTGTTAACACTTGCATCAAAAGATTCTGAGGATGAATCATGCATTGTGCATTTGAAATTGTCGCAGTATATTTGTAACTTGAAATTAGCTCTTGAAATTAAACAATGAAGTAAAACTCTCAACCCTCCCTCTTTCAAATTGCGTTTGGACTCATAGCCAATTACATTTTGAAATTAAAGCTGCAATGAGGTGTGTTGGGGTTTATTGCGACCGTGGTGCAGTTGCCAGAGGTCATAGATGCGGCTCTGAATTATCATGTGCATTGGACGCCTCACAAAGGAGTCAGGCATCACTTGCTGTGTCCCCTATTTGGGACTAGAGATTACCTGCTAATTACATGTTATGTCCCAGTATGTGAATGTGGACCACACTAAAGGTTTTATGTAAATCAAATAAGGATTATATCACAGGGCTTACTTCCTGTTGCCAAGAGGTGGCGCCATGTAGATGAGTTCAGGGCAGTAAGCATGCACACAAAAGAAGAGGGCTTGGAGAAAAATGAGCTAAAACATAGGATTTCACGGTAATTTCTGAAAATATGTGTGTTACTCAATTCCACCTTTCGGTTGTACTTTACACAAACCAAGTTAGCACTAGAGTTAGCTGCCTTTCGCTTCAGCTTTCATCTGAACACACCTTAAGTGAAGTTGTCTAATATTTAATCAAGACCACCATCTTTCTCAAAGCGTAACCAAGTGCTGCGAGTGCCAAAACATTACCATAAAAAAAGTTTCATACTGTTGGAAACTATATAACACTGTCAGTGAAAGAGGATAAATTCAGTATCAACATTTTGCCACTTGTGCTGATAAAGAATATGGATGGCATTATGTTTCCCTAAAAACATATCTGCTGTTGCAAAAATATAATTTCTAAAGCTTGGGTATGCAATGTTTTTCAAAAGCATTTTTTGTTACATTTGTTGAAATTCTCTGTACAAGCCCACAGCAATCAATAAATCAAATGCTAAGACAAAAAAATAAAAAACTCACTGCATATGAAAATGTGCTTTTGGGGATGGACTTGGAGGGAGGCCTAAAAGGAGGGAGTTGGATTTTTTTGGATGCATACTTTAAAAATGTTGCTGTCTCTTGCTAGTTCTCCAACGTTTCCTACCCTAGCTTTAATTCTGTGTGTCCAAACATCTGTGTGACTGGCCAAACACTGTATAAGAAGGACAGATAAAAAGGTGGCTGCTTTCTTAATGGAGGATTCTGGTGCGATGAATCAAAATAAATATCATCTGTCTGCCGCAGAGCTGTGCTGTATCACGTATCGATGGTGGATGAAGTTCTCTGCTGAGAGGTTAGTTACTGTGGCAACACTGGAAAATAAATGTCTCCTCTTCTGTCCCTGATGTGTGCTGTGAATTAAAGAAAAGCATGAATAGAAAAAATAAATTGCCACAACCTCATTTTAGATGTGATTTATTCCTATTATTATTATTATTATTATTATTATTACTAGGAGAGAGCAATTTGATCTTTTCTACTAACTCTTGTTTCCTATCTGTTATTCTCAGTGGCTTAAGATGCACACCAACAAAAGAGCTTTTTTGTAAACCACATGCATAACCAGAGGGTGTGTGGCCAAACTGTTTGGAAATTGAAAACTGATTAAATGGTTTGGGAATAGTCTGGGCAGTCACCATAAAGGAGACACTACACTGTAGAGATAATTAAGAGACTTCTGCTTTTAGACTAGTTGGTTGTTTAGTGGATGAAGAGTGGAACCAGGATCTGATCCAGGATGAGCTGGTACAGTATGTTCTTGAGCCTCCAAACAGTGTGATTGAGAGGCTTTATACAACCTGCTGTGGTCCCATAAACCAACTCTGTGATCTAAGATATCTCATTTCTAACCACAGACACTCATATGCTAAATTGAAAAAATCCATCATGGTTTGGCCTTTACAGAAATGGATGCATGTTTTCACTTTTGGCATATCTGCCATCCGAGTTACCTCACGAGGGCTGTTCAGTGAAATTAGGAAATGTCTCGACTCTTCACGGCGTTACGTGTCCTGTCCCTTTATCTTCTGCCAGTGAAAGTGAAAACAACTTGTTCGTAAGCTGTAAATGTGTTGAAAATCAATATAATAACAGATCTTTGCATGCATTCAATTTAAAGGTTCAGTGTGTAAGTTCTAGTGACATCTAGTGGTGAGGGTTGCGAATCGCACCCCCCTTCCCCTACCCAAGCGAGCACTATAGCTATGGTGCCTGAGACAGGACAAAGAAGTCATCTATGAAATAAAACAGAGTGCCAGTCAAGAAATGAGGTTTCTTTTAGATATATTAAGAAATTATATAAATTATGTAAAACCAAATGTTTTTTTTAATATTATAGTTACTTTTTCATTAATAAACAACAGTCACATGAAGAAATTAAGTGTTACATGATGTCTCATACTCCTGTAATACATTATTTTATATCTTGGGAGGGTTGGTTCATCTGGACTAACATACCAAAGTAAATGAAGAAATTCTCAAACAATATCACAGATCTGAGCTGTGGTTTTATTGCCAATTAGCGATCAGCTGATTCTCAGGAACATAACATAACATACAGAGCGCTGGAAGAGAGAGAAAGAGTCACTACATGAAATTAATCCAACTAACATAACACCACAAGTCAAAGCACAGCACTGGAGAATAAACCAATCCAACTAACAATATGTTTTTCTACCAGTCAGTAAAAGTTTAGCTGGCTGATGCTTCCATGCTCTAAGCTAACATTACGGTTTTACTGCCAATTAACATTAGTGATCAGCTCATTGTCTCGCTAAGTAACCGGCAAAGCCAAACCACAGGCTGGAGAAAAAGTAGGAACCGTGAAATTAATCCATATTTCACACCACTAACAGGAGGAAACATGTCACGGCTCTCTGTGATTATGGCCAGCTTCTGGCTAAAGCTTTCAAACAACAGTTTTCATTCGCATCGCTAAAGTCTGAAACAAACAAAGTTAATTACCTGTCCAGCAGAAAACAGACAACTTCAGCACCGCTTTGAAAACATCTGTCCCACATTAACGTTATAGCCTTCTATCTGGGAAAATCAGTCAGCTGTCTTTAGCCACAGAAATGCTAGCAATATATATTAAAAACTGTAATGATATTAAAAAACTTAATGTACTTGGCACAGACATTATAATCAGCCAACTAGCAGATGACACAACAATATTCTTAAAAGATAGATACCAAATTACAACAACTATTGCCAAAATCGAACAGTTCTCCAAAGCATCAGGCCTAACATTAAACTTAAAAAAGTGTGAATTGCTGGCTGTACACGACACTTCACTGAAAGACATCTGTAATATCCCTTTTAATCAGAAATTAAATACCTGGGGACCTATCTACGGACCAAAAACAAAGCCAACTTCTGAATGTAGAAAATAAAATTAAAGAATATGGCTACAGAGGGACTTATCAATACTAGGTCGAATTTACCTAACTAAGATGGAATGTTTATCGAGGTGTATTTACGCTGCCTATTCCAATGCCGTTCCAAACAAATTGATTAAATCTATCAACCAAATCAACTTAAATTTCATTTGGAGAAACAGACCACATTATATGAAGAAAAGCAGTATGGTTAAAGACACAAAGGTTGGAGGACTCAAAGTTATTGATTTTGACTGCCTTAATGGAACATTAAAAATAAATTGGGTAAAATCTTGGATCAAACACAGCAACTCCTTCTGGTACTGTATTCCAAAAGCCTTATTCAAGAAAATTGGAGGCTTAGAATTTCTTCTTAGAACAGATTTTAATGTTGACAAATTACCTACTGTATATCATTGTCAGAGTTTCATAGACAAATACTCTTGTATTGGAAAATATTATATGTACATAACTTCTCACCCCACACATCTGTACTCTGGAACAACAGATATGTTTGCACCGCAACAGATCTCTGTTCTTTGAAGATTGGTATGGGAGAAATATATGGTCCATAGCTGATTTAATGGATACCAACGGACATTTTTTAAATTATGAACAATTTTGCATCAAACATAATTTCCAACCCTTAAAATCAGACTTTACTAAATTATATAGGGCACTACCTCAAGAATTTGTCTTTCTAACAAGAAACAATTTGGCATATCATCCAATACAACCACAATTGGCCCCACTATCAATTCAAGGAATCTCTGTTCTGGATAGAAAATGCACTAACCACTTTATTAGAAATTGTTTTACTGAATACCTTTACCCTGAAAGACAAAATAAAAACAACATTATTATTATTA